CTCTTTCCATATATTTTGTAAGTAGAGGAAATTTTGACAGGCACCTCAAGGGATTCACACCGTCTGCAAGAGATTTCCGATGATAAAACTGGTGACGTCGGAGATCGACGAGTCGCTCAACGACGACATGCACGTGATTCCCGGCATGGGGGAATTTGCCGATCGTTATTTCGGCACGTGCAATAATCACACCTGCACCCAAACGAGGAGGTAACGGCATTAATTAATTGACCACACGATTTTTTGCACTAGTCAGGAGGTTTCCTTTTTTACTTATTTACTTTCAACTTTACTGTGAACGATGTAATAATGATTTTTTCAATTTTATTCAAATCATAACCGTCCATTTTTATATCGGATTGGTTCGATTACGATTATTTATTATTTTATTCAAATCAATTCAATTATTAAGTTATTAACCAAATTGGTCGCTCTTTCTTATATGACATCTCAAACGAATAGATAAAATCCACCGAATTGTGCATGAAAGATTATAATCGTTTCTTCAATAAACAAAACAATGAAAGTTTCATCTTCTTTTTTTTTTGGAAGAAAGTGTCATCTCTTCGTACACAAAACATGAGAAAGAGAAGCATCAAGGTTTTATTCATCTTTTAACCCAACAGATCATGATTGATGATTCATTCACCCATCAACAGAAAACCAAGAAGAAAGTTTTACCCTTTACTCGATTATAGTCAAACACAATGATCCTCACTCTTAAACCCTAAACCCCAATCCAATTTATAAAAGATAATTTCCAAAAACATGGAAGTAATTTTTCCTACCGAGAAAGTGGCTACTCTGTTCCTCTCTTTGAATTGGATACTGCAATGAGCTTAGGAGTGGGCGTTTCAATTCGGTTTTGAAGAACCGAACCGAATCGAACCGAAAAATGCGGTATTTTTTCCGATCCGAACCGAATTTCTCGGAACCGAATCGAACCGAACAGAATTGTAAAAAATCCAAAAAAACCAAAATTTTTTAAAGAAAATCTGTTTTTTTGTTAATAAAAACCGAAACCAAACCGAACCGAACATAATATAAAAACAAATTGGTACCTATTTTTGCAAAGCCGAAAAAACCGAAACGATGCATTTCTGTCCCGAAACCGAACCGATTTCTGAAACACCCATCTCTAAATGAGCCTAAGGGTCCAACTGGTTATACCACTTCAATTTTGATTGGTTGACAGTTTATTATTGACAAGGATTGTGGATGGTTGCAATTAGGAACGAATGGCTGACTACGGTTCCACTTGCGGTTTGATATAAATTATCACAGAGGATATAATTTCATATATATTTTTTTTTAAATAGTTATAATTAATTATTATTATCATTTGATAAAACAATATATTTACCAAATTTATAAAATAATTAAATAAAAATTTAAATTATAAATTTTATCAATTTAATTTATTTTAAATAAAAAAAATAATTTTATTATTAAAAATATTTTTTTTAAAAAGATAATTTAATTTTTTATATCATATACCACCAAACGCTATCAAAATGCGAATATAAGGTTGCGATTAAAAATCTCGTGTTTTGTTGTGGACGCAATGATTGTGATTCTATCAGTCGGTTTTTCAATCGCCCACATCCACAAAAAACTGCAACCGTTCCGTTTGCGGGATAGTGACGCAACTAATTGTCTCCTAATTAAATAATGTTAGTTTATAATTTTTTGTAAGTTTTGTGACCATTAAGATTATTTTATTTTCAATTTGTCAAAAAAAGACATTTGTCAACGTATATATGTATAGGCGCATATACCAAGTGGGAATTCAGTAAATTATGGCAAGTGAATACAAATGAGCTTCCGTTTGTTTTGATACAGACACATTCCGAAGTCTAACATAACATCCTCATCTACTTGGACACAAAGGCAAGAACTTTAACTCTTGCTCATTCCGAGTTTGTTAGACTGAATCATACACATTCGCTAGAACCTATATCTCAATACATCGCCCCCCAAAGTCCTTGGAAGATCCTCCAATGGCGACTTTCAGTTCAGACAAAGCTGAGATAAATCTCATGACTTTCTCTTTTTTCCTGTCTTTTTTTTTGGGAGTTTGAGTCGTGGACAGACAGCTTTTGTTACTGGCGATGACCTTCTGGTAGAGCCACCACCTTGTGGAAGGGCACTGTTCTTTGAGGCAGTGCTCCATCTTCCTCGTCGTCGTCGAATTCAAGCAAGTACCTGATAACCCATATGGACAATTCGGATCATATGATTTGATTGTTAATTCTTGTTTATTCCCAACCCAATGTGGAGTGATTGATGACAGCTAAAGAGCCCTCGATTCTGTCAGTGCAAGTGAATATCTGCCCACCGAAAGTAGTATAAAGAGCGAGAAGGAAAAGGTGACGGAACTTACTCATCGGACTTCCTCTGGATTCATGCAAAAATCGGAGAACCAAAGCCAAACAAGACATGCGAGTTTGGCATCTAGATGTTAGTTTCCCAGGCAGCAGAGGCGAAAACTGGTCGAGAAACAGAGAATAAAACTGACCTTTCTCGGGGTACTTATGACAGTTGCCTTATAGAGGGCAGTTGTTCCAGGATATACAGCCAAGACTTGTTTCCCCGAAGGAAACTCTTGGGTGCTAGAAGGGTCATTGCGTTTGGGGAATGGCAAGATACATGACATCGGTAGCTTGTATGTCCTAAATATTACAAGAGAACAAACACATTAGTTCAAGAAAGAATTTGATATCAGATGCATAACTGAAGTCCTTGTAAGCGCTCTTACCTCTGCCCGCCTCCATCTTCATCATCCCCTGGTTCTTCATCAAGTACTTCAACTCTGTCAGAAAAAAGTTTGAAACTTTTTATAGACCCAAATGCCAGATATTGAATGCATTTTGGCCCGACAAAAGTTTTGTGACTATCGGTAGTTATAAAACGAGCAGAAATGATCAACTATCGTTGCCGAGTTGTTATAAAGGTCCGGACTTACTCTTTCGTTTCTCTATCGAAATGAATTACTTTTACCACAAACCACTCATCCTTCTCGGCATTTTCTGCTGTGACCCTTGCAGCTACCTATGTAGGTATAAGAGAAATGGACATGAATTTTCCTTGTCTGGAAGAAAAAAAGACTGATCCCAGACCAAAAACGAATAGGGCGTGCACCTGTTCACCCTTTAGACTGGCATATGCCTCGATTTGGTTTCTCATGGAAGGAGAGAGTCTTGTTACATCCGAATCAACTTTCATCCTCTTTCTCTTCTGATCGGCGCCTTCTGCCACTTACATGATATCATTTACAAATATCGAAACCCTTAATTCATCTAATAATAAACGGCCGGAAAAGTTTGGAACTCTGACTTCCATATAATGCTAGAATGTATAATCAATGATCATGACTTTAACACATAAAGCTAGAATGTATAATCAATGACCATGACTTCCATATACCTAATTTTCTGCGGTGCTGTCCAGTTGGTCCAGACGGAAGCAGGGCATCCAACTGACTAAGCAGAATGTTCGAAACTCTGCATTAAAACATGAATTCAAAGATCTTAAGGAAGAGTTTAGAGTTATCACACAAAATTACAAGGTTTTTGGCAGGCAACATGATTTCGAAAATGAAGTAATCTAATCAGAACATCACTCCCTAATCCATCTCAAAGTCTTAACTTTGATCCCAACCAATGGAATGGTGCAAGTAAATACAACTTACGTTACTTCAGTTTCCGAAAGCTCTTTAGCCTGAATGTACAGATTTTTAAGCTTTGACAGTGAAGTATCACCAGGCTTCTCCACTATCTCAGGAGCTGCATCAGAACAACAATCACTTGTCAGATGAAAACATGAAGAATGATAGAGAAAAAAACCCCCCAAGGAGATCAGCCTTAGGGAAAACACACTGCAATTTATTACCAAGTATCCATCACTAGGCTCATACAGATTCCACTTCCTAGAACTAACTTCATCAAGATTCGTTCTAATTAGTAATTTATCAGCATCCATCTTCGTATTAATGGAGTTATTATCTACAGCTACTATGGCATCACCCCATTACTTATGATACTTCGCTACTTGTGTTATGATTGAAATCCAAACTGTCGGAAAGGATAACTAGGAAGAGACAAATCAGTTATCGCAGAAGAAAACCCAGTGAAATAACGCTGACGAGGAAGATCCAGACAAATCCCAGATCATGACAAATCTGCCACCACATACCAAATTCGCTGAGAACAATTATGGAAAACACTCACTAGCTTGGAGCTTCTTATGCATCTTATTGATCTCCACAAGCACTTCCTCTTGTTCTTTCCGTAACCGATCGAGCTCCTTCGTGTTGTCCAGGATTCCGGCAATGTCCGGCGACGACATCCGTCCCAACTGCTGCGAAATCCCCGACACGAGCAGGAAAGAGAAAGACCCAGAATCGAAAATATCTTAGATTGTTCGGATCTCGAAGCTCGATCTTCTGCTGTCACAGCAAAAACAAAGCTTTAATTCCCACAGGAAGAGGAAAATCTCAGAATTTTCTTCCAAAAAAATTTCAAAACTTAAGCTTTTTCTACTTAGGAAGGATCCATAGAACAAGCGAGCACCGTACGACGCCGTTCTGGGCGAGAGGGATGAGCTTCGGAAAATGCTTTTCGGCAGTTATTTGGATAAAGGGAAAGTTCTGAACCTCGTCAAAGTTTTAAGGTTTTTTTGTTTCCACGCCGAAATTTAAGTTTATAGTTTAAAACTAATTAAATTTAATTAATCGTGATTTTCCATATTAATCTGTCCAAATGATCTGATGTTTTTCTATTAATCTGCCACGTGGAGATCATGGAATGAGGTGCTTCCGATGATATCTCTGTCAAACCCTGTCGCGCTGCCACGTGTAATCGTACATGTGTGTCCCTAATAATGGGCCTTCTTATAGGATGCAATGGGCCGTATTTGGGCTTTAGTTGAAATGATGCGTGTTTCGGCGCGAGTGATCTCACGTTCGCGAGACATTTTTCGAAAAGCCAGGGACCGCCATTGCCGGTTCCAGAGCTGAAGATCCGAACGTTGAAGCAGAATAATCATCGGTTGCGAAAACCGAATCCTCAATTTTCTTTTTGTCCATTCGAGATTTCACCTTTGGCTGTCTACGATTTCTGAGCTCGGTGTTGCTGGATTATGAATTTCTCCTTCTCTGTCGCAAACAGAGGTCAAAGCCGTTTCGTGAGCTCTTTTTCTTTTCTGATTGAATCAAATTTCTTTTTGTTTTGTCTAAATTTTCGTAGTTTTGATTTGATTCGATCGCGGCGGCCATTTCTGTGTTCGTCATACGAAACGTTGTTTTGCGACGACATCGTTTGCTTCTTTCTTTCTTTTTTTGGTATGAATTTATGGTGCTGAATTAGCGCGTATATAACGTTTTGATTGACTGAATGGTACCAGAAAACAAAGTTTATCGGAGGAGGTTGCGGTGTTTTGTGTACGTATTTAGGCATTGTGACCTAGTATCCGGGGTTTGCTTGTAGATTGCGTGCCAAAGTTGCATCGATGTGGCGTATTTTTACTTGAATTTCGATTCGATGTGTAAATTTGTTCCATTAGAGAACATTGAAGGTTGTTTTCACTTGCGGAGATATTCGTCGAACATGGTGGAACTAATGATTATGCGTGTGTAATAACGCTGATTTCGTGTCATAGAATTAATTAGGACGCTATATAAGTTCCTATTCGGAATTGTCTTACCGAAAGAGGAACGCAAATGAGCCTGCATCCATAGTTGTTTCCGGAAATGGCTCATTCGCATGTATAATTCTCTTTCAGCAAAGAGATTGTAGCTTTTACATGAAGTGATCAAGCCCTTCTTCAATTTTGATGTCCTTTGGGCATTTCTCACGAATTACATTACCAGAGTTCCTAAGCTGGGCATGCTGTCTTGATTTGTTCAACACTGATATTTTGTGTTTGTTTGAACTCATAGGCACTGAAGCATGCAACACCGATGACGTCAAGCGACGCCAAAGTGCTGTGTTTCATGCCATAGGTTAATGTTTGGATAGAGAAGATATCTGACGGCACCCTGTACTGGTAGTCTCCAAGGTGGGTGCTTCTGCAATTTCTGTTTCTCATGCACATATATTGATGAATGAAGAGTTGTTCTTTAATAACTCAGTGGCAGCTGATGAATATATCAGTTTTGGCACTTCTTTACATCTAAATTACTATGTCTATTTTCTTTCTGTTTACTTTTGACCCCGAGTCCATTCTGTAACACATTTTTTTAAATTATTTTTTTTCACTGCTTAACAATGGGTATATACTTCTCTTTTGGTGTACAGTGGAGAGATGAGAAGAACCAATCTAATGATGAGGCTTCTTATAACAGCCGTTGTTGGGGTTATAGTTGGCTTCCTTATGGGTATATCCTATCCAACTCTTTCCTTAACTAAGGTGAGAACGCTTTCTTCGAACAGCAGATATGAGGCTTTTCTAACTTATACCCCTGTTATCCATTCTCTAATGTGTAATGGGCTACGGCAACTTCTCTTGAAATGGGTAGATGAATCTTCCATCTACGTTGTTCCCCGCATTTGATCTTTCATACATTGAGGGCAAGTACTCTGACTTCTCCAAGCAGCCTCTACTTGATGCTTGGTATTCTGTCAAGGACAGTACAAGTATGAAAGAGATCCCTGATCCTTCCTACGACTGGAATGCCACAAAGGTTGGCCTCATTTACTTATTGGATTTTCCATGCTGTAATTGATGAACTGTTTATCGAACGAACTACTGCAGATATGGGTTCCCACAAATCCCCGCGGTGCTGAAAGACTTCCCCCAGCTATAGTTACACCTGAATCAGATTTCTACCTCCGTCGGTTGTGGGGCAACCCCAGTGAGGTGCACGATTTTTCAATCTACAGGCTTGTACCTACACCTGGCCGGCTCTGAGATCAAGTTAGATGAATGCTTAACCATCTTATTATTGTCGGATGTGTATAACATGTGCAGGACTTGACGATCAAACAGAAGTATTTGGTAACGTTTACAGTTGGTTATGATCAAAGAAAAAATATAGATGCAGCTGTGAAAAAGGTTATCCCACCTTCCATTCTTCTTTTCCTCATGCCTGAACATTCTCCAATTGCCTAACTCTATGTCCGGCAGTTCTCAGAGGACTTCACCATAATGTTGTTCCACTATGACGGGGGGGCCAGTGAATGGGAAGAGTTTGAATGGTCAAAGCGAGCTGTTCATGTGAGTGTCCGAAAGCAAACAAAATGGTCAGCAGCCAGCCATATTCCTGAATTTGAACTATTTCCTGCTCTATGGTTGGGCTTGAACAATATATCTGATCTTCTGTGCAGGTGGTATGCCAAGCGATTTTTACATCCCGATGTCGTTGCCCCCTACGAATATATCTTTATATGGGATGAGGATCTCGGTGTGGAGCACTTTGATTCAGAAAAGTACGGTTTACGGAGCTTACTTCCTGTTATGGCATGGCCGGGCTGTAAATATTTAAGTTTTCCTTTCAGGTATCTGGCTGTGGTAAAGAAACACGGCCTGGAAATCTCACAGCCTGGGTTACAGCCATATGAAGGGCTGACATGGGAGATGACGAAGAAAAGAGACGACACTGAAGTTCACAAGTTAGGATAACAAAATGGAAGCTATCAAACTGTTTTTTTCGCCGAAGCCTAACCATATACAATACTTTGGACTTACTCCATATCTTAATCTCTGTTCTTTGCTTTCAGGAAGGCTGATGAGAGAAACGGCTGGTGCACTGATCCGAAACTGCCCCCTTGTGCAGCGTATGTTACAGTTTGCTTAAACTATCAACTTCAATACTCCATTGGGCACTTCATAAATGATTATACCGGCCGGTATCGTCATCTGTTTGGATATAGGGTTAATATTATTCTTCATACATCCTATGGAAAAAAAACCCCAATCAGGTTCGTTGAGATTATGGCTCCTGTTTTTTCTCGTAAGGCATGGCGCTGTGTCTGGCATATGATTCAGGTTTGGAAAAGCCTTTTCTTCCTCTCTTTCCCGTGTTTATAATCTCCAACACAGTTCACTTTTTTCTTTACCCTTTTGGCCACAGAACGATTTAGTTCATGGATGGGGTTTGGACTTTGCCCTTCGGAAGTGTGTTCAGGTCTGTATCTGAAATTTCCTCTGGGCAGCCATATTTGCACTTTTTTTCAGATATATATATATATATATATCAACACAATGTGTAGAATGCATTAGAGATCATTTAGGAATATGATCCGACTTTTCTTCAATTGAAACCATATTTGCTAACACAGAATGCTCTGGAGGACATTGGAGTTGTGGATGCTCAGTGGATTATTCACCAAGGTGTTCCTTCACTTGGAAACCAAGTAAGCTCACTCTCTCTCTCTCTCTCTTTTTAAAGAAAAAAGCCCCTCTAATGCCCATTTCTTTGCATGTAAAAAATCCCAACAGGGGCAACAAGAGAACGGGAAGCAACCATGGGAAGGGGTATGTACTATGTATATATATATATATATATATATATATATATATATATATATATATATATATATATAT